TTGTGCGAAAATCAAGCACTTGAAATCATCGGCAGTCAGTTCGGCTAGTTTAAAATTATTACAGAGCTTGTTTACCGATGCTGCAAACGTTAGAAAATCTTGCTGTTTGTTTTTGACTGTGTTCAGGCATTTCCAACGTTTGTGGAACAAGGTTGTGTTAGGCCCGAATAGTTCCGATAGGAGCTTAATTCTCTGAAAAATTCAAGTCAGTCGTTTTCTTGGGTAGTATGAAGTCTACGAACCTACTATGTTCTGTAGTTCCCAGTTTTCTCAATAGTAGACGTACCTTTTTTTTACTGGACCATTATTCACAGTCTACGTTGAAAATATCTTCGTAGCGCCTGTAAAATGCCTGTAACGTTTTGTCTTCCTCTGGTACGTATTCAAAGGTTTCCATTGAATTGTAGATTGTACTCTGGGAAAATATTATATCTTTTTCAGAGTTTGAGCCTGTGGAATCGCGAAGGAATTCCACCAATTTTTACGTGCGTACGCGGATTGCACCCCTTCCTGTCACATTCGGCTAGACATAGTAGTAAACCAGCCTGTCTGTTGCCGACGTGAGTGAGGGTGTCTAGCTGCTGCTGATTCCAGCTAGAACGGAATTTGAAGTTTTCCCGCGCATTCTTTGACGTCACGAACGAACGTTGTTTTTCAAGTCAGTCGCGGCCTGTTACCAGAAGAAGAAGGTCGACTCATTTATTTCGTGTCCCTTACCTATACGCGGGCCGGAATATCTTAACCAACCAAAAACTTCCTAGTGACTCCTTGGTTCATTATGCCGAATATTTTTCCTGTGATTGTAACTTGTTTCGAACAACATGTTTGAACCTTCCTCCATTTTCTACCGGAGAATGTAGAGTCTACGACACTGTCGTCATCACACTTTTAAAAAGACTAATTCATCGTCCTTCTGCGAACAACTTGTTCGAACTTTCCTCCGTTCATTATTAGCGAATGTAGAGTTTTTTCAACACGGCCGATTGATGAACTACATATCCACCTTTTGAACTCTAACCTTTACGAACCAGTTTAAAAAAAAGATAACATTACACACACATTATAAAACCTCACAGTGGGTATTTTTTCCTTGTTGTGTATGCATGTATCTTTTGTTTAAGAAGACTCTGTTCCAGAACTTTCCTTCTGAAGAAACTTTTCCCGCCTTAGCCATTTTGATTTTAGTTTTGGCGCGGAACATTAACATTCTATTACTTGGCTTTACCTTTCTGATAGTCTCCACTGTTTGAGACAAAATATTTGTTATTAAAATAAAGTTTTATATTTGTTTCCCCCCAGACTCGTTTTCGTCATTTCCTCCTGGCTATCTATATTTTACTATTTTTATGCATGTGTCGAATGATCATTTTTCCTCGCTAAAGATCACACATTTATTATTTTTACTTTGTTAATGGATTCGGTAGTCGTGAGTAGTGTCTGGCACAAGGCCACCTTTTCGTAGCCCAGCACTGCATGCTACCGGGTCTGCTACAAGCCTTTTAAATGCATTTACGAGTAATTCTTTAAGTTGTTTCTGTTGTAGTTCAGCATTCTGAAGCGTAATTTTTTGAAATTCCATTTGTTGTTTATGTAATTTCAAAAATAGTTGTTGTCTTCTGATTTTTGTTGCTGATCCAAATTTAGTTTTAACATTTGGGCAACTACTTTTTGCAAATCTTCCATATTTAAAATGACAGCGCTTTTTTTGTTACTTTGAAACACGTGTACTAAGAGGAGGTACACAAAAAAATCTTGATAGATTTGTTCTTTTTTTTTCTTTTACAGAAAAAAAAATATATGGACAGACAACTAGTTAAACTAAACCAATTATATGTGTTTAGCTTTTTTGCAATTCCCGTGGTTCCGTTAATTTTAACGTAATTGAATAAATTTTCACCACACTTATGTATTTTTTTTTTTTTTTAGAAAGGCACAAAAAGAGAAAACTCACCTCAGTGAATTTGAGGGGAGAATAATTTTATGCCCGAGTTCAACTCAGTTACATAAAAAAATTTTCGATAGTTTTTTTCGAAAACTTGAGTACAATGGTAGTACTTGCTCTTGTATTGTCGGTTTGTTTTACGAACAACTGTTTTTTTTTCTGTGTGTGGGTGTGTAAAAATCGTTCTCGTAATTTGGACAGACTTTAATATTCCGTAGATGTCGAATCGCTAGTCGTCACTGCTGTTTCGTATCTGAATATATTTAGACGCTGCGTTTTTAGCTTTTAAAATGCTAATGTATTAATACCAGCTTAATTTCTCGTTCAACACTGCTGTGGGAATGCGTGTAGTTTGTGTATTTTTCGACTACTGTCTCTATTGATATGGTGAGAACGAAATTCTCAAATCTTTTCTGTCGCCACTCTTGTGGGACTGGCAAGGTATTGCGGTTTTTCGACGTGAATGCGTTTCTCGAATTCTTCGTCGACCCAGATGTGGGATTGGTAAGATATTTAACTTTCGCCGTGAATGCGCTTCTAGAATCCTCGTCGCCACTGATGTGGGGCCAAAGATGGGACCACAGAAGTAAAACACGGAACACGGATTAGATGTAAGAAAGATATATTAACAACAGGTTACAGAGATAGTGTAAGCGAAGCTTACTATATGTTAGTGTCCAATACTGGTAGTCGTACGAGACTCTCACTGTGTCTCTGTGTGTGTGTCTCTCTCTCTCTCTCTGTCACTCTCTAGAGTGCTATGTCGCCTACTTAATATAGGCCTGGAAGAGTTTATTGTGTAGGTAGTTTCCGGTCTCACAATAAGAACCTTCATTTTACATTGCCTTTGTTAGTCTCCTACCATCTTTTTCATTTGACATTAGGTTTGTCAGCCTTTTACAACCTTTCTTTAATTTACATAGCCTTTCTCAGTCTCCTAACATCTTCTTCATTTTACATTGTTTGTCAGGCTTTTACCACCTTTCTTTATTTTACATTAACATTTGTCAGGCTTTAACCACCTTTCTTTATTTTACATTTACTTTTGTCAGGCTTTTACCACCTTTCTTTATTTTACATAAACTTTTGTCAGGCTTTTACCACCTTTCCTTACTTTTACATTTACTTTTGTCAGGCTTTTACCACCTTTCTTTATTTTACATTAACTTATGTCAGGCTTTTACCACCTTTCTTTATTTTACATTAACTTTTGTCAGGCTTTAACCTCCTTTCTTTATTTTACATTAACTTTTGTCGGGCTTTTACCACCTTTCCTTACTTTTACATTTACTTTTGTCAGGCTTTTACCACCTTTCTTTATTTTACATTAACTTTTGTCAGGCTTTAACCACCTTTCTTTATTTTACATTTACTTTTGTCAGGCTTTTACCAGCTTTCCTTACTTTTACATTTACTTTTGTCAGGCTTTTACCACATTTCTTCATTTTACTCTGCCTTTGTCAGGCTCCTACCATCTTCTTCATTTGACATTACGTTTGTCAGGCTTTTACGAACTTTCTTCATTTTACATTGTCCTATGTCTACTACATTTCTTTGGTTATACCGAATTCCTCTATTTATTCAATTTTGCGTTTCTTTTCCTCCTATCAACATTTTTTTACTTTTTTCTTTTCTCTCTCTCTCTTTACTTTCTTCATTTTTCACATTTCTTCATTTAACCCTCTGCCTTTGTCAAACAGTTATATCATCTTCTTTTTTGACATTACGTTTTTCCACATTTCGAACTTTTTTCAGACTATTATTACCACTCATCGTTTTTTCACATTTCATCTGTGTTATACCTTTCCTCTTTTTACATAATTTTAGCGTTTTTTTTCATTCCTATATATATTTATATTTATATATATATATATATATCTCTCTTTTTCTTCATTTAGCTTTGTTTCGTCTTTTGCTTTGACTTTTCAAACTGCTACCATCTTTCTTTCTTTTTCTCACGTTCCTTTTTCGTTTTGATTTGTTTTTATTAGATTTATTACCACTCTTCGTTTTTTATCCTTCATGGCGATAAACAACATCTGGCTTTTGGCCAGACAATAATTTGAATAATGATTTTTCTCATCCCAGAAATATATATAGGCGATCATATAAAACAATAAAGATAGGACAATAGTCCGAATGTAGTTTTGTTTGAATAATGATTTGCTCATTGAATTCACAAAAGGCGATCTTTCTTTAAAAACAACAAAGATGAGGATAATCTTTCGAATTTTAATTAGTGTTTGAATAATTTAACCTGCTCATCCAGAGATTCACAGAAGGCGATCAGGTGGCGATAAACAACAAAGATGAGGACAATAATCCCATGTAAATATTGTTTGAATAATGATAACTCTCATCCCAGAAATTCACACAGACGGCGATCAGGTGATAAAAACAACAAAGATGAGGATAATAGTCCGAATGTAAATAGTGTTTGAATAATGCTAACTCCTCATCCCAGAAATTCACACAGACGGCGATCAGGTGATAAAAACAATAAAGATGAGGATAATAGTCCGAATGTAAATAGTGTTTGAATAATGCTAACTCCTCATCCCAGAAAGTCACACAGACGGCGATCAGGTGATAAAAACAACAAAGATGAGGAAAATAGTCCGAATGTAAATAGTGTTTGAATAAACATCCCAGAAATTCACACAGAAGGCGGTCAGGTGATATAATCAACAAAGAAGGCCGGAGAACACTACGTCCGAAACATTGCGATAAAAATAACAAAGATGAGGACAACTGTAAATGAATAAATAATGATAAATCCTCATCCCAGAAATGTTTTCTTTTTTTTCTTTGTCTTTTTCATTCTCATACCTCCTTTCAACATTTCGACAACTTCTCTAGCCTCTTCCGCCTTTCAACTTTTGTTAGACTGCAAGCACTTTTCTTTTTTCCCTCCTTTTGATTTGAATTCCGACAACCGTTTATATTACCTCGTCCCTGTCTTGCACTTTTTTCAAACTCCTACACCCTTTAATCGTTTTTTCCGTGTCTGTGTACCATCCATATTTTCTAATTTTGTCAAAGCTCCTACCGTTACTCCATGTCCGTGTTTTTATTTTTTCGCTTGTCTATTTTCTTTCTCTCCTTACATTGTTTCGTTTTTCAAACTCCTGTGATAAATCTCCCTTTCATCTTCCTTTCTTCTACCTCTGTACTACCTCTCTACTCCCTTTCTTCTTCTTTTCTTCTACCTCTCTACTCCATTCTTCTTCCTTTCTTTTTCCTTCCTTCTATCTCTCTACTCCCTTTCTTCTTCATCTCTTCTACCCCTCTACTCCCTTTCTTCTACCTTTCTTCTACCTTTCTTCTACCTTTCTTCTTCCTTTCTTTTTCTTCTATCTCTCTACTACCTTTCTTGTTCCTTTCTTCTACCTCACTACTCGCTTTCTTCTTCCTTTCTTCTACCTCTCTACTCCCTTTCTTCTTCATTTCTTTTTCCCTTTCTTCTACCTCTCTACTCGCTTTCTTCTTTCTTTCTTCTACCTCTCTACTCGCTTTCTTCTTCCTTTCTTTTTTCCTTTCTTCTGCCTCTCTAATCTCTTTCTTCTTCCTTTCTTCTACCTCTCTACTCCCTTTCTTCTTCCTTTCTTTTTCCTTCCTTCTATCTCTCTACTCCCTTTCTTCTTCATTTCTTCTACCTCTCTACTCCCTTTCTTCTACCTTTCTTCTACCTTTCTACTCCCTTTCTTCTTCCTTTCTTTTTCATTTCTTCTATCTCTCTACTATCTTTCTTGTTCCTTTCTTCTACCTCTCTACTCCCTTTCTTCTTCCTTTCTTTTTCCTTCCTTCTATCTTTCTTCTCCCTTTCTTTTTCATTTCTTCTACCTCTCTACTCTCTTTCTTCTTCTTTTTTCTATACCTCTCTACTCCTTTTTTTTTCCTTTCTTCTAACTCTCTCTCCCTTCTTTTTTCCTTTCTTTTTCCTTTCTTCTATCCTCTTCTACCTTTCTTTGTTCCTTTCTTCTACCTCTCTACTCGCTTTCTTCTTTCTTTCTTATACCTCTCTACTCGCTTTATTTTTCCTTTCTTCTACCTCTCTCCTCCCTTTCTTTTTTCCTTTCTTCTACCTCTCTACTCCCTTTCTTCTTCCTTTTTTTTTTCCTTTCTTCTATCTCTCTACTCCCTTTCTTCTTCGTTCTTCTTCTCTCTCTCCTTTCTTTTTCCTTTTTCTACCTCTCTCTCCCTTTCTTCTACAATTCTTAACCCTCTCTACTCCCTTTCTTCTTCCTTTCTTTTCATTTCTTCTATCTTTCTTTTACCTTTCTTGTTCCTTTCTTCTACCTTTCTTTTTTTTCCTTTCTTTTTTCTTTCTTCTACCTCTCTCCTCCTTTTATTTTTCCTTTCTTCTACCTCTTCCTTTCTTTTTTCCTTTCTTCTACCTTTCTACTCCCTTTCTTCTTTTTTTCCTTTCTTCTGCCTCTACTCCGTTTCTTCTTTCGTTTTTCTACCTCTCTACTCCTTTCTTTTTCCTTTTTTCTACCTCTCTACTCCCTTTCTTCTTCATTTCTTCTGCCTCTCCTCCCTTTCTTCTTCCTTTCTTTTTCCCTTTCTTCTACCTCACTACTCCTTTCTTTTTCTTTCTTCTACCTCTCTCTCCATTTCTTCTTCCTTTCTTTTTTCCCTTTCTTCTACCTCTCTACTCGGTTTATTTTTCCTTTCTTCTACCCTCTCCTCCTTTCTTTTTCCTTTCTTTTTCCTTTCTTCTGCCTCTCTCCTCCCATTCTTCTTCCTTTCTTTTTTCCTTTCTTCTGCCTCTCTACTCCCTTTCTTCTTTCGTTCTTCTACCTCTCTCTTTTCCTTTTCTTCTTCCTTTCTTCTACCCTCTACCTCTCTACTCCCTTTCTTCTTCATTTCTTTTTTCCTTTCTTCTACCTCTCTACTCCTTTCTTCTTTCTTTCTTCTAACTCTCTCCTCTTTTCTTTTTTCCTTTCTTCTCCCTTTCTTCTCCCTTTCTTTTTTTTCCTTTCTTCTACCTTTCTTTTCTTTCTTCTTCTCTCTACCTTTTTTTTTTCTTTCTGCCTCTCTACTCCCTTTCTTCTTTCGTTCTTCTACCTCTCTACTCCCTTTCTTCTTCCTTTTTTCTACCTCTCTACTCCCTTTCTTCTTCCTTTCTTTTTCATTTCTTCTATCTCTCTACTACCTTTCTTGTTCCTTTCTTCTACCTCTCTACTCCGTTTCTTTTTTCTTTCTTCTACCTCTCTACTCCATTTCTTCTTCCTTTCTTTTTCCCTTTCTTCTACCTCTCTACTCGGTTTATTTTTCCTTTCTTCTACCTCTCTCCTCCCTTTCTTTTTTCCTTTCATTTTTCCTTTCTTCTACCTCTCTCCTCCCATTCTTCTTCCTTTCTTTTTTCCTTTCTTCTGCCTCTCTACTCCCTTTCTTCTTTCGTTCTTCTACCTCTCTACTCCCTTTCTTCTTCCTTTCTTCTACCTCTCTACTCTCTTCTTCTTCATTTCTTCTACATCTCTACTCCCTTTCTTCTTCCTTTCTTCTACCTCTCTACTCCCTTTCTTCTTCCTTTCTTCTACCTCTCTACTGCCTTTTTTCTTCTTTTCTTTTTTTCTTTCTTCTACCTCTCTAATCCCTTTCTTCTTCCTTTCTTCTACCTCTCTACTCCCTTTCTTCTACCTCTCTACTCCCTTTCTTCTTCCTTTCTTCTACCTCTCTACTCCCTTTCTTCTTCCTTTCTTCTACCTCTCTACTCCCTTTCTTCTTCATTTCTTCTACCTCTCTACTCCCTTTCTTCTTCCTTTCTTCTACCTCTCTACTGCCTTTCTTCTTCTTTTCTTTTTTCTTTTCTCCCTCTCTTCTTCATTTTCTTCTTCTTTCCTTTTTTTCTTTCTTCTACCTCTCTACTGCCTTTTTTCTTCTTTTCTTTTTTTCTTTCTTCTACCTCTCTAATCCCTTTCTTCTTCCTTTCTTTTTCCTTTCTTCTAACTCTCTACACCCTTTCTTCTTCTTTCTTCCACCACTCTACTCTCTTTCTTCTTTCTTTTTTTCCTACCTCTTTACTCCCTTTCTACTTCCGTTCTTCGTCCTATCTTCTACCTCTCTATACTGTTTCTTCTTCCTTTTTTTTTCTTCCTCTCTACTCCCTTAACTTCTCTTCTTCGAATACCTTACCTTCGTCATTTTTTTTTATTCTCATTCTCTCTCTCCTTCTCCCTTTCTTCGTACCATAATTTTGCAGACCTTCTTTCGATTTTCACTCAGTTCCATATTATTCCGGAAGAGATTTTTTTTTATTTTATTTTATTAACTTTATACTGGGAATCAATAAAATCCTGCCATTGATCATTCAACCGAGCTGAAATCAATCAGCCAGAATGTAGCAAAAAGTGACCTCTACCCTCCAAAACCGCGAACTCTACCTAACTTTGAAATTTCCCATCAACTGAATACAAAAAAATGTTTGCATAAAATAAACAGCAAAAACGGAAACATCAAAAAGTACGCTGTAAAATAATGGCATGTATATATATATATATATATATATATATATATATATATATATATGGCTTATAAATCCAGTTACGCTCCTTGATTTTTTTTTATTTTATACGAGGCACAAGCGACAGCAGATGGGAATATATGAACGTTTACAAACTTTTTGAAAAGTTAAAAGCGAAACCAGTTAAAGTAAAACATTGTTTTTTTTTTTTTTTTTTTTTCTTTCTGAAAATTCACAAGCAGGTAAAAGAATGTTAATAAACTTCTGTAGACATACCTGTATCGTAAATATTATATATTAAGCCATACATGGTCTGGTGCCACCTCGATGTCCATCTCGAGTTTCTCGACAAAACCCAAAGACGGATATGCAATGTGATCGGTCCTTACTTAGGGTCTCGACTCCAGTCACTTTCTCACCGACGTAATGCGGCTTCCCTCTGTCTTTTCTACAAATATTTTCACATCTGATCTGACAAGCTCTTCTCACTGGTACCCCGACTGCATGAATTTAACCGTGCTACTAGGTCCGCATCTCGGTCGCAACCTTTTGCTGTCGAAATAATTAAATATAACCCCCACTTCTACTCAAACAGCTTCTTCTCTTGCACTTCCCGACAGTGGAACTCCCTTCCTCTTACTTGCTTCCATGATAACTATAACCTTCAAAAATTTAAATGTTATGACATCTTCTGTTGTTTTGATCTCCGTTTTATCCTCCTACATCTTTTTTCATCCTTTCCTCACCCCCACCCCTATAACTAGTCTTTTCATTTAATTGAACACTTTGTAGCCCCTTGCGTACAAGTGGCACTCCCGCCTTGCTTGGGGTGCATTGCTTATATTTAAAAACATTTTACTCTCTCTCTCCCTTTTAAAAATCGAAAACTGAAATTAACAAACACAAATAAACAAAATAATATAATAACAACAAATAAAATAAATTAACACAAACAAATAATAAACGAATTAACAACCTCTCCCAATTAGAATACACGAAATAAAATAAATACAAAATTAAATAAAAACAAGTAAAAATAATAAATACCTAAAAAAAATAAGTAATAATAAACAAATTAACAAACCAATCCCGCCTAAATAACCTTTAGAATAAACAACAACATTCAATCCAAAAATTTGACGCAAAAATAGCAATAACTTCTATATAATGATAAAAAAAAACAAAAATATTACTTCGTTTCTCAAAAATCGAAAACCGAATTGGGTAAATAAAAATATACAAAATAAAAAATAAGTAAATAAATAAGAAAAAAACAAGTAAAAGTTAATCCAAATAAATAAATAGATGAACAAATTAACAAATAGCTCCCGCTAAAATAACCGTTAGAACTAATAATAATAAACATAAAAAAGCAAAAACAAGTAAAAATAATCAAATAAAAACTGTCCCCAGCCAAAATAACAGAATAAACTACGGCAGGCAATCTAAAAATTAGACGAATAAAAAGCTTTAATTATATTCTCAGGCCAATACAAACTGTTAAATAAGCAACCTAAGCACCACCCGCATTTTTTACCATGTTAAAAAAACAACAAAAACCGAAAAGAATAAATAATACAAAATGAAAATGAAAAACAAGTAAAATAAATTAACCCAAACAAATAAATAAATAAACAAACAAGCCGACCTCGCAAAAATAACCGCCAATATAAATTACCCACAATGCACCACTGACCCATATATATAAATAGTCCAGATAAAAATCCAACACACGCGACCTGACGATTGCGTCTAGAATGAAACAGCCTGTCGCCTTTGAGAGTTGACTTCAATGTTCACTTTTATATTTATATTTACATACGCTCTATCTATGATATTGAGCACTTTATCCCATAATTATAGCACATCTTAAATTATATACATATATATATATGTGTGTGTGTGTGCGTGTGTGAAAATTAAATATATTATATATATATATATATATATATATATATATATATATATATATATATATATTCAGTTGTATGGATATATGTTTGTAAACCTAGGTTTCAATCTCTATTTCTGAGATGAGGCATTGTAACTATCTACACTATTTACATTGTTGCGTCTCGCAAACAGATGAAACCCAGGGTTACAAACTCTTCTTCATCCATCTGAATATGTTAGCTCTATCACAGATATATTATAATTAAAAAAAAGAACAGTAAGATATATAATCCGGTGTTCTTATTGATATTTTAATTTTTACAAAATAGTGCTCAATGTGAATTTACAGAGCATAAATATTATATATATATATATATGTATGTGTGTGTGTGTGTGTGTGTGTGTGTGTGTGTGTGTGTGTGAGAGAGAGAGAGAGAGAGAGAGAGAACGGGACTCTTTAAGAATATTTTATTCTATTACAGTAGTTTTACCGGGCTTCACGATAAATTATATTACGATATAGCCATACACCTGTTCATGTCAATGTAACTTTTGACAAATGACAGATCTGAGAAACTGATAAAATTACTGTAAATAAATATTCTTAAAGACTCCAGTTATATATATATATATATATATATATATATATATATATATATAAAACAAACTTGAGCAGCAACCTTTCTTTCAAAATATCTTTCCTTGAATATGGAAGACAAGGAAAATTATATGAATTTTTTATTCAGTTTTTTTTCTAAAAAACTGACATTTTATCGTTTGATGATGTTAAAGAAGAGCAATAATTGCTTTTAATGTCTGGTTTCTCAAACGCTTTTCTCCGCGCCTTTACCAATTTTCAAAGATTTTGTTGTTGTGTGATGTTAATTTCTTTTAATAGTCGTCTTTTTAAGATATAGGTATGTGATGCTTATAAAATAGTTACCTTTATTCCGAGACCCGAACCAGGAACGTGTCAGGAATTGGAACTGGCGTCTTTCTAGTTAAAAAAAAAAGAAGGGCTTTTAGCATATTATTTACGTTGTTAAATAAGGTGAGATTAATACTGTATGCCAGATGTTTTATGTGGTGCTTCTGTCACTTTGCGATGTTTTCGGTTACGGGATTGATGTAGGTTGATCGTGTTATTAACAAGAATTTTCCTTATGTGTTCTTGTACATTGTTGGTGCCTACACACACACACACACACACACACACACATATATATATATATATATATATATATATATATATATATATATATATATATATATATATAACTTAAAAGGCTCAAACATTGATATTATATTCTTACTCCTCCGTCCTGGTCATTGAGTTCTACCTGAATTCTATCCTCTTGGGAATTTGTATGTATATATATATATATATATATATATATATGTTGACCAGTAATATTATCGATATATATATATGTGTGTGTGTGTGTGAGAGAGAGAGAGAGAAAGTGAGTGTGATCGGTGCTTGCCCAGAGCCTTCGAAACTGACGGTTGCGGGGGCCGTGGGCAATTTTATCCCTGCCCGGGTGTAGCGCTCAAGTCCCAACTTTAAATGACCTTGTGTCACACCTAGTCCTAGTGGATCGTACGAGTAAATACCGCGTGCAAAAGTAACTTGTAACGCTTTTATTTATCAGCTCTCAGTTGCGTCTCTATCTTTGAGCAGAGTTGAGAACATTTTACTGAGAGGTGCCCGTGTGTGTGTGTGTGTGAGTGTGTGTGTGTGTGTGTGTGTGTGTGTTTGTCAGGCGTGTAAAATAGGATACAGAATCCAGAAAAAATTTGAGGAAATTTGACGACTGGAAAAACGCTTCATTCAAATTGTATTCTGAAAAATTGGATAAAGATTTACCTTAATTTAAAAAAAAGTCTAGATGAATGTCTTGATTTTGAGCCATTATGAAAATAAGTTGAGAATTTACCTTAAATTTCAGTTAAAAAAACCAGCCACCATTTTTTAAACGCCATTTTGTTTGAAGTTTGCACTATCTTGGTTGCAGATAAAATAAACCAGGAAATTCTCTAACATATTTGCGAAATTTTCACTTTTCAAAATTCTAGTTTACAATTATCATAAAAGGGAAAGAAAATGATGATGTTCACACAGACCTTCTCGATGTGAGACAGTGGCAATGAAAGTGAATAAACTGAATCCAGTACATTTTCTTTGTATTATTTAATTTACTGTTGTTCTCATTAACTTTTTGGTAGGGGTGACAAGACTTTTGGACCATCCTATATAACGAACCCGACTGGAATTAGAACTCCCTCTTATTTCCGAGAACTTTGAGAAAAATGGACGTAAGAGCAAGTATGACAAAGGACAAAGGTGGTTTTAAGTATTGCTAAGTGCAACAAAAAACACAGGAAGTTGTGGAGGACCGTGATTGGCCACGTTCTGTAATGACATTGCACACAGAGAGAAAGAGGCTTCCCTCTCCCCACCACTAATAAATGCTGTCAAAAGACGTATAATGCATTAGAAAATGACTTACAAAATTTCAATAGAAGAATGTTTAAAAATGATTTGCATAAAATCCAATCTTTATAAAGCAAACCCCTGCAAAATAATTTTTAAAAAAATGTTTCATAAAATTCTTCTGTCGATAGGTCCTTTCCTTCGCTGGACTGTAAAATTGTCTATCGAAAAATGGCTTTTCTTCATTTTTTTTTTTTTTTTCTTCCAATCAAATTCGGGAAACTTTCGCATTTTATTTAGATTTAGTATCGTTTGGGTTTCTTTGCTTGGGTTTTTTTATTGTTTTTTTTTTCTCTCCATTGTCCGTTGATTGTATTTGTTTATTTACTATTGTACTCTGTGATCTGCACGGTAAATTCGATCAGGAAAAAAAAAATAAAGTGTGTAAAGATGGTAAGAGAAATCATTTATTTTTATTTATTTATTTATTCTCAAAATCATCTGTCAATATTCGTAACACTGGTGAGTTATTGCGAACGGTGACCTCCATTATTGAAGGGCTAATATTTGGTATCAGGACTTAGTATTAGGATATCCTTCTTTTGTTTCCCGCGCTCTATTCGCTCACTCGCTTTCTCACACTCTCTCTTTATCTCTCCCTCTCTCTCTTTCCCTCTATCTCGCTCAATTACTCTCTCGATTTTTCTCTCTTTATGTCGCTCTTGTTCTCTTTCTCTAATTTACCCTCTCTCTCACTCACTCTCTCTCTCTCTCTCTCTCGTTCTCTGCCTCTCTCTCTCTCTCTCTGTCTATCTATCTTCCTCTCTTGATCACTATCGGTCTCTTTCACTCTCTCTCTATTTTGCCCTCTTGATCTCTCTCTCTCTCTCTCTCTCGGTCACTTTCTCTCTCTCTCGTTCTTTCTCTCTATCTTCCTTTCTTGATCTCTTTCTCTGTCTCTTTTCCCCTCTCTCTCTCTCTCTCACTCTCAAACTCTCTTTATATCTATCTTGCTCTCTCGTTATCTCTCTTTCTCGCTATCTCTTGATATCTTGCTCTTTCTCTCGCTTGCTGTCTTTCTATATCTCGCTCTCTACCTAGCTCTCCCGCTCATTCTCTCTCTCTCGCTATCGCACTATCTCTCGCTCGCTTTTTTCTCTCTCTATCTCACACTTTTACTCTCTCTCTCTCTTTGTCTCACGCACACACAATTTTCTCTCTCTCTCTCTCTCACTTTCTCACACACAGTTCTTTGCCTTCTCTTCTTCTCTCTTTATCACGCACACATTCTTACACTCCCTCTTCATTTCTTCTTTTCTTTCTTTCTTGATTTGTTGACTTCCCGTCTTTCTCTTTTTCTATATTCCTTCTTTTTCTTTTTCTTTTTCTATTTTCTTTCTTTCGTTCTTTCTTTCTTTCTGAATTTAGTCAATGTCTTCTTTCTCGTTTTCTTTCTTTGTTCCTTGCTTTTTCTCTTCTTTTTTTTCTTTTCCTTCTTTCTCTACATATCGTTCTTTCTTGATTTAGATTCTTTCTCGTTTAGCTTCTTTCTCGTTTTCTTTCCTTTTTCTTTTTTCTTCTTCAGAAGTATTGTTTCCATTTTTAAATTAAAAGCTTAGTCGAAGTACCTTGCCAGTTGTCTTTAACGAAATTTGTATAAAAGAGGGGTTGCTGCCCAAATACACAATTTCATATTAAAAAGAAAAGAGAAACCGCAAACGTTTTTCGTTGAAATGTGGATTTTTAAAAAAAATATTATGCTTTATTTCTATAATGGAAAATAAAGCATAATTTTTTTTAAACCACATTACAACCAAAAACGTTTAGGGGCCCTGTCTTCTTTTTAATATACACACTTTTATCTCGTTGAAACTACTATAACCTCATCTTTATATTATATATATATATATATATATATATATATATATATATATATATATATATATATATATGTAAGCAAATATATGGATATAGATCCGACAGTATGAAGAAAAATATACTGAAAAAACAAACAAAAATCCTATTATGCGAATATGCTGTTTTAATGTTTAATGTCGACGTCGGACGTTTCGGTCTAATAGACCATCTTCAGCCCACGTGACGACGACGTGAACATTTTTAAACGGAACGCTGATCTTATAAAAGATTTCAGTTATCTGTTTGGGTTGGTATTGCTTTCTATGTCCATCGTCTTTTTCATGTTGAATTGTATATGGTCTATGTTAATTATGTTTTATGAATATGTCCTGAAGATGGTCTATTAGACCAAAACGTGCGACGTCGACATTAAACATTAAAACAGCATAATCGCATATTAGGATTTTTGTTTGTTTTTTCAGTATATTTTTCTTCATATATATATATATATATATATATATATATATATATTCAGTGTCCCCAAAAATTTGACATCATTTCGCAGGCCAATAATTTTGGCAGTTCTTGTTGAAATAACCTCAAATGTTCACAGAATGCTTAGAAACAGATCAAGATTTTATATTTAATGTTTTTATTTTTGAGAATCTTCCAGAGAGATGGATCGGACGTGGTGAAGATGAAGACGGTTTTCTGATGAAATGGCCGCCGCGGTCACCGGACCTGTCCCCGTGTAATTTCTTTTTATGGCGATATTTCAAGGGACTATGTCTCTCTTCTTCCTGTTAGCATTGAACTCAGAGAATCACTTCCGCACTGGACAATGTTACCGGTGACATGCTACAGCGTGTTTGGCAAGAGCTTAACTGCCGACTTGACGTGTGCCGTGTCACAGGCAATGCACATATTGAAATCGGTCCCATAATAAACTTATGATGTTCAACACTTAAACTGCTCAATTTCACTGAGTTAGACTTTTCAAGATAATTGATTTTAAAGTGAGTCAAATTTTTGGGGGGACACCCTGTATGTTTTTTCAAAAACAGTTCTTATATATAAAAATTATATCATTACCTATATATATATATATATATATATATATATATATATAGATAGATAGAAAGAGAGAGAGAGAGAGAGAGAAAGAGGGATGGAGAGAGACATGTTTGGTTAAATAATTTAGATATATTCTGTCGACTTATTTTCAATTAGATCCTTTCGTATTCAGGAATATGCTTTATGGTGTCGTTAGTGAAGGATAAGAGAAAATCGTCCCGTTGATACCTTTTTTTTATTTCTGAGTACTTTCGACATAGCACAATGTCATCATCAAGCAAGAAATATTGTAGTGTTTATTATTGTCTTTACCACAACGGAGGGAATTTGGATGGTTTATTCCAATCAAATGCGTGACAGAGAGGTATGGTTTGCCTAATATAAGTCAGTGTCTGCAGGCTGTTAATTTAGATGGGGGGGCATCAGAGACTGATCAGCTCTGAGGGGGTCTACTTGGTGAGGGGAGTATGATGTTTGAAAAACCCCGAAACTGACCGATGATCCAATTCAGAAAATCACTGACGACGCCTACTAGCGCTAAAGAGCGTATATTCAAAGTATATATATATATATATATATATATATATATATATATATATATATATAATTCTAGGATATTTTACCAAAATATTCAATAGGATCGTCGCCTTCTCTTTCTGTCCTGGAGTAACAAGATGCCTCAGAGTATGGATTTCATTTACAGGTTTTATTTCACTGCTCTTTGGGCTGTCATAGCTGAAACTCCTCTCTCACGTGCCAAACGTTTTATCGATTGAGTTGGATCTTTTCTAATTGATCTCTTTAGCTCTAAGTTGAAATGATAATCCTCCTGATTCAGTTTTTCTCTCTATTGTTCCATCTTTTTTTAAATTTATTCAGCATTCCCCTTGATGTTTCATGAAGATGGAAACCAGAGTATGAATGCTAGTAACCTTACCGAAAGCCTGAATGAGCATTTACCTCTCACCATTGCTCATTTGGGAAGACAGTGCGGCTAACACAAAACGATTTTAACTTCTTCTCTTTCTAGCTGAATAACTCAAAGGGTTTTTATGTGATTCTTACGACAAATGGTGTCAAGATGGCGAAACGTCTCACCGGAAAAACTAGAAAAAAGAAACAGTTTAGCGGATTTTTAGATTATTTACATTATTCAGACTATCGTCCTCATCTTTGTCACCATATTTATTACAAAGTTTCGGCCGTTGTACGCTCCGGCCTTCTTCAGGTGGTTGGAATGTCGAACTGAACCCTTTATTTCGCTCACTGGGGTAGTTCTAGTTCCACATGCCATGTTTGATGGATGTCAGTTATCAGTTATCTCCTGCTAATTTCCCTCTGAAAGTTCTCCACTGCCTTAACCGGGTATTGAACTCACACTCTTTGGGTCCTGTCACTGGATATTTAGATATTAAACATTTTGTGGGATGGACAATTATGCTGTTACACAATTTGGAAAAATTTGCTGTTAGACCCGATACGAAGAGAATAATATCGTTCCACTGTTTTTTCAAATCTGGAGTTTTCTGCCATTGCTCCGAGTAACAGGACATAGAAATGTCAAGATGGCGGAATACAGCGCTTGGTTCAAAGCAACTTAATAATAGTAAAAAAAAAAATAATGTTCTGTCTAGACACGAATCGAATTCTTTTCTCTATTTTTGTCCAAGTGAAAAGGAATTAAATATATTCATAAATACTCACATGTGAAAGCCTTTTAAAAAGAGAAGATACATTTGAATAACAATAATTTGACACTTCTTCCTCTCTAGGCTATGAATTAAATAGAAGGGTAAACTGAATCCTCTAGCTATAAGTGGTAGTGAGATAAAAAAAAATCTATGAATTGAAAGCAACATAAAATGAGAGAACTATCTTTTCCAAGACGTCAAGCCAATTCCCAGATAAAGACCATGGAATCAGTGCAGAATCGCCTCCGTATTAAGAGTCTAATACCAGGTATGACGATACACTACACCCGGCAGAAAGGCCCCTGATCGGGATATTGGAGATTTTGAGGAGCGTGGAACCACCTCTTAAACGCTGCTGTTCCCAGCTCCACTCTAACCCGGGGTGGTAGCACCTGTTAGAGATCCCAGCTTTAGGAAAATATTGAATCCCCAAACAAAAAGAAATCACTGTGAAAGTATAAAAATAGATTTTTATAGTAAAAATACCAGCAATACCAATTTATAGTAACTTGAATTATCTATATTGTTCGGACTGTTAACCTCATTGCCATATTCACAACGTTTCGGCGGTTATACGCTTCCGACTTCTTCAGGTGATTGGAAATAACTGAGATATGTGGAGGAATCATGGCATGTGGAACTAGAACAATCTAACCCGGTGGATGGAATAAAGGTTTCCGTTCGAATTTTTAATCAACTGAAGAAAGCGGGAGTGTACAACAGCCGAAATGTCGGGAATATGGCAACAAATATGAGGACAACAGTCCGAACAATGTAAATAGTGTAAATAATTACAATACTTCATCTCAGAAATATAGACAGATACTGAAGAAGGCCGGAGCGTACAAAGGCCGAAACGTCGGGAATATGGCAACGAAGATGAGGACAACAGTCCGAACAATGTGAATAGTGTAAATAATTATAATACCTCATTTCAGAAATATAGACAGATACTGATTTAAAAAACGGGATGTCTATGCAAACTAAATACAATGATTATTGTAAGAAGAAAATTTGTTATCTAAAATTAAGTGAACTCTGTCCTAATTTGAACCTGTGACCTAGAAGTAAGCAGGTAGACAATATATAAATACACAAGGATATTGTTGCTGACCGGACCAGAGCGTACTACAACCAATTGGGCTGTGGGTTGATTGGGGGCGCCGGTCAGTGCCTTGTGACCATCGCTATCTTATCAACATTTACTTTTTTCTATCTACATTTATATACGTTACAAGTTAAACTAAGCACGACTATTAAAGGATGGAAATTTTTTGCAGATTTTGATGTCATTCTGGGGTCATTTTTCTTTTGTCCAAATCTGTGAACTTCTTTTGCTCATGAAAAACCACTATATAAATATATGAAAGCAGGATGTGACACGCCTCTCACTACTCTCTCGCTACTTCCATGGAAAGTAGCTCAGATGAACTACATTCCTTGGTTCCACCAGACCTAACTTTCATGGCTAGGACACGGCCATGCCACTTACATTGTTGCAAAACACCCACATTCCCTCCGTGTATCCTCGATGAAAATTGAAGTTCCACACGAACTGCTTCTTCCTGCGAACCACTGCTCTGTGGAACCGACTCTCAAAAGGATGTTACACAGATCACTTAATGTTAACCTCTTCAAGTCTAATATCAACCGTTATCTTCCCTTCCTATCCTTACAAAATGTCTCCTAACGTAACCCTCTACCAGAAGTGGCACTCGGGCCAAATAGAGGGTGGATATCAATGTAAAAAAAAAAGGCTAATGTTACAGCGGGGGAAATAAGTATAAGACACTTCACGAAATTGTTAATAATTTTTCTTATTACTGCACAAATTCCTCTGAAAATCTGTGTGGTAACTATGGTTATTCGTATATATATTCGATTTTATAACAACCTTTCACACAAAAAAGGTATTAAGAAAAATACGTTTCCAAGGGTGGAAATAAGCATAAAACTGTTTTAAAAATTTGTATTTAACAGCAAAGTTGTACAAAATTCAATATTTATATTTATTCCCTTTCAATTGTAATTCTTCCACACATCTGTTTTGCATTGAATCAATAAGTTCTATGAGAGTTTCAGATGGAATTTCATTCCAATACTGTTTAATGCAAGATTTTAAAGTTTCTCTATCTTTAAATTAACGTTTATTTTTGTATACTCTTCTTGATGAAATTCCCCACAAATTTTTTATTGGGTTTAAATATAGAGACTTTGTAGGCTAGTCCAAAACTTCAATATTTTTTGTTTTAAACCAATCTTTCGTGAGCTTAGAAGTGTATATGGCTGCGTTGTCCTGTTGAAAAATGGCATTATTGGTGTCTAGACGATTCATAAATAGGACAATACTTTTTTCAACACATTGATATATAGAGCAGAGTTTTGTTTGCCTTCCATCACTACTAAATCAGCCTTTCCAGACACAGGAAAAGCTCATCAAAATATAACAGCTCCTCCTCCAAATGGCCTTTTTGAAAACAGCTGCTTTTCATTTCTTAAACCATGCCAATAACACTGGTAACAGTTTGGCACATCCAAATTAAACTTTTTCACATCAGAAAACACCACAGTTTCCCATTTCTCTTTTGTCCATGTTACTTTATCCTTTACCCAATATACGTTCATCTTCTTGTGTTTAGCAGTTAAAGCAGGGGCTGTCTTCCTGTTTTGATACATGAGATTTGGTGATTCATGGAGAAGTTGACAAACTCTTGGAATGATGGGTAAATTCTGAGATTTTTGCAGAGCTCTTGAGCTTGATTGTCCTTTAGAAGCATCTCGAATGAGTCGACGTCTGTCTGCATTTGTAATTTTAGGTGGACGACCTGGACGTTTTCTCGTGCCATACGATTCTTCAGGGCCCTTTAGATAATTTCTTACAACTGTTCAGGACCTCGACAGTTCTCTTGCAATGAAACTTATGGATTTTCATTCCAGTTTATAGACAAAAATTCGCCCTTTTTCATTTTCATTAAGTGGAGAGTTCCTAGACATTTTGTAGTAACTGTTTTTATAATCCGCGCATGCGCTTATTCTTCCTTTGGCATTCTGAAGTAAACCAGATATGCAAATTTTCAAACTGTCTGATAATTATTTCCACCCTCAAAAACAAAGATTTGTCAATAACTTTTCTTTTTTTTTTTTTTGGTGAAAAATTCTTATAAAATCGAATATGTATACAATTTTTTTTTTTTTAGCATTTCACTCCAACTAAGGCGGGATGCGACTAGCACGTAAGGGGTTACAGAGGATTTGGAGAGAAAACGCAGATAGGAATAATAGAGGAAAGAGTGAAGAGAAGGATAGTGGATAGATCAAGGCATCTGGAGATGTCGATTGACATTACATTTTAATACTTGGAGATTATAGCTATCAGGGAAACAGGAAAAGGGAAGGGAGTTCCACAGGCGAGAGGTGCGAGATGTGAAGCTATTGGAGTAGAAGAGACGGCTACATTTAACAGTTTCGACAGTGAAAGGGTGAGAGCGGGATGCCAGCCTCGTAGGCCGCTTGAATACATGAAGCCTGGGAACCAGCGAAAGCAGCTCATCGGAGCAATTACCATGAAAATATTTTTAAAAAACAGAGAGAGGCGACGACGGCGCGTCTGTGAGAGAGCGACTGCAGACGATATGCCAGAACAGGGCCAATTATATTGCATATCCGCCTCTGGATCTTATCAAGAACCCCGAGACAAACAGAAGGTGCCCCAGACCATATATGACATCAATACTCCATGCAAGGGCGAATGGTTGATTTGTAGATCTGAAGGATCGATTCCGGGGAGAAAAATTTCATGGGGCGGCCCAGGGAGCCAACTTTCCTTGCGGTGGACGAAGCAATTGACTCAATGTATTTGTCCCATCTCAGGTCAGCAGACAATGTTAGCCCAGCAGCCACAGAGAGGTGCTCTCGAGAAGTTGAGCGTCAGACATTCTAATGCGGCTGCTCGGTCGCACATTGACTGCTGACCTGAGATGGGACAAATACAAATACCCATCGGATCTAGGTACTACACACACATTTTCAGAGAAATTTGTGCAGTAATAAGAAAATTATAAACAATTACATGGGATGTTTTATACTTATTTCCACTACTATATATATATATATATATATATATATATATATATATATATATATATATATAATTGAAGTTTATTTCAATTTTTCACGAGATTCTGATCCTTAGCTATGATTAATTAATGATGAACATGTCATTTTTTGTTTATGATAGATTTCATCACGATTCTTCTGTTAAGCTTCGAGAGTAATTTACATATTGTTATTGCTCAAAATAGAGTCCAACAGAGTTACAAAAACCTAGGAGAATTCCAATAAGTTATCTTTAATCATTTCTAAGATACAACGTGTCAGAGCTTAATCTAACAATTGAACAATTTTGGTGTTACATGATTTGGGCAGTTTTGGTGTTTCACTGGGTATATGCTTAAATTTGGCGGGGCACCTGGTGACGGTGTAGTGGTTAGAAAGCTTGTCGATAGTAGTGAGTTCGATCCTCACTGGGTACCCCCTACTTTCGTATACCCCCTATTATCGTGTAATAATATATATATATATATATATATATATATATATATATATATATATGTTTCTGAGATGAGGTATTATGTACATTATTTACATTATTCGGACTATTGTCCTCATCTTCGTCGCCATATTTATCCTCAAGGACACATGGCACAGTGGATAAAGGCGTTGGTTAGATCCAGTGACAGGACCCCAGTGAGCGAAATAAAGGGTTCAGTTCGACATTCCAACCACCTGAAGAAGGCCGGAGCGTACAACGGCCGAAACGTTGTGATAAATATGGCGACAAAGATGAGGACAATAGTCCGAATAATGTAAATAATATATAAATATAATATATAATGTAAATATATATATATATAATTGAATATGTATACTAATACCCATCGGATCTAGGTACCACACAAATTCTCAGAGGAATTTGTGCAGTAATAAGAAAATTATTAACAATTACATGGGATGTTCTATACTTATTTCCACCGATGTAGTATTACTAATTGTTTGTTTCTGCAGCTGATCGTGGATAACTGAAATCAGAAGCGTTACAGCAAACAAGAAATGACTCTTTATCCGCTGTTTCGCTTTTGTAGCCTTTCGTATATTTGTAAAGGATTCAATGGACGCTTTTTTTTTTCAAATGGCAGAAAATTGGAAAGCGAGTAAAATATAATGAGAGATATTTTTCTTAATGTCAATCACCTACATACATAAGGAATTATTTTAATATATTTTATTGTTATACGTTATTTATATAGACGCAAATATTTAAGTAAATGCTCTGTTTATAATAAACAGTATTAACAACATTTACCGGCCTGGACGTCCGAGAAATATTCATAGAAAATATGTCCTCCGACAGGAATCCAACCTGTAACCTACACGAAATCATCATATAGCCTGACGTGATATACCAGTTTAGCTACAGAGGAGCGTCTGGTTAGTAAGGTCTATTTTACTGCTTTTAAAATCCGATTCTCCATGATTTCGCTCGAACGTCCATATCTACTCGAAGCGTATCTAAACGTAAACAAATGACGTCACACACTGCGAAATGAACAAAGTCCGACAATTATTTTAATATATTTTTTGTTACACCTTATTTATATAGACGCAAATATTTAAGTAAGTGCTCTGTTTATAATATAAACAGAGCATTAACAACATATTCGTAGTGTGTGACGTCATTTCTTTACGTTTGGCTACGCTTCAAGCAGATATGGACGATTCGAGGGAAATCATGGAAATTGTAGTTTAAAGGCAGTAAAATAGACTTTGCTAACCAGACGCTGCTCTGTAGCTAAACTGTTCCGTGTAGGATACAGGTTCGATTTCTGTCGGAGAACGCACATTTTCTATAAAAATTTCTCGCGCGTTCACGCCGGTAAATGTTGTTAATACTGTTGATTACAAACAAAGCATTTACTTTCAATATTTGTGCCTAGATAAATAACGTGTAACAATGAAATATATTAAAGTAATTGTTGGACTTTTCTCCATCTCATAGCCAGTTATATTTCTCCATATATTACTTTTCTCTTTCGTCCTGGGGATGACGTTAAACTACATCCGGCAGAAAGGCCTCTGATTTTTACATTGCCTTTGTCAGATTCCTACACCATTTCTTAGTTTATACTGGCATTGTTTTATTCTATTTCATTTCGTTTTTCTTGTACACCTATTATTATTATTTTTTGTTTATTAGTTCACTCCTCTGTTTTTTCTTTATTTACCTTTTACAGTTTCAGACATTTATCACCTACCTCAAACATTTACCTATTAATTCGTTTTGTTTTCCACCTCGCTTCTTTTTCTGCTTTGTGCTTTGTTTTAATCAGACTCCTACTACCTTTCTTCATTTCTTTAATGTGTCCTCTTCTTTTCTACATTTGTCGCAATCATTATAGTTTTTTTTTTTTTCGATTTTTTTTACCACCTTTCTTTATTTCTTTAATGTGTCCTCTTCTTTTCTACATTTGTCGCAATCATTATAGTTTTTTTTTCGACTTTTTCCTTTGCATTTTCAGACTCCTACTACCTTTCTTCATTTCTTTAATGTGTCCTCTTCTTTTCTACATTTGTCGCAATCATTATAGTTTTTTTTTCGACTTTTTCCTTTGCATTTTCAGACTCCTACCACCTTTCTTTATTTTCTTTTAACTTCTTTTCTACATTTGTCGCAATCATTATAGTTTTTTTTCTTTTTTGCATTTTGACTCCTACTACCTTTCTTCATTTTTTCTTCTTTTCTACATTTGTCGCAATCATTATAGTTTTTTTTTCGACTTTTTCCTTTGCATTTTCAGACTCCTACCACCTTTCTTTATTTCTTCCAACATAATAAACATTATAATAAACATTAACTACATTGACCGGCCTGAATGTCCGAAAAATTTCATAGAAAATCTGTGTCCTGACGTGCTATACCATATAGACATAGAGGAGGCATCTGGTTAGTAAATCCAAATTACTGTTTTTAAACAACAAATTTCCCATGATTTCTCTCGAACGCTCATATCTGCTCAAAGCGTATCTTAACGTAAACAAATGACAACATATATTATGAAATGGACTAAGTCCGACAATTGTTTAAATATATTTTCTGCTTTGTAAATTATTTTCATATTTATGTAAATGCTCTGTTTATATTAAACAGTATGAACACATATTTTGTATGACATTTCTTGGATATTCAATCCGGTAAATTTTGTTGATACTGTTTATTATAAACAGAGTATTATTTAAATATTTGTATAAAAAATAGCGTATGAACAGAAAATATATTAAAATAATTGTCGGATCAGTCGTGTATATATATATATATATAGATAGATATAGATAGATAGATAGATAGATAGTAGATAGATATCGAGAGAGATGTTTGGCGTCGTATAGCAACAAAATGTTCATTTAAACACGTCTAGGCAATTTGAGTCGATTCTATTTTAAAATAGTTCTTTTTTTTTTTAAACTTTCCAATTGTTTCTGGAGATCAGAGCAGAAACAATGGGGGGGGATGGCCTCATTTCTTTTCTGTTTATTCAATATTTCAAGTGTTCGACAGGTTTCAGAAAATTTCCAACCTCAATTTCACTCTCTGCTCCAATAAACGTTATATATATATATATATATATATATATATATACTGAACAATAAAAAAATATTAAAAAATTAAAATCTTCAAGCACACTGTGTTGTATATTGTTTTTATTATTATTTCATTTAGATTCCTCGACTAGTTTCGGCCAACATGGCCCTCATCATCAGAAAAAAATATTTCTTCTTGCTGGTAGCAGTGAACTACAGAAATGAATGTCTTGATGGAGAAAATGAACTTTTGTCTGTAGTTTTCATTTGTTTTTTTTATTTTTAGCATGAATTTTGGTCAGTCCTTGAGTTGGTCAAACAGTCTCTTTTAAGTTGTTATTTAAGATAAGCGCTGGATGGATTCATGCTGCTCTGAATTCCCTTGGTCATTTTGACAGTTTTATTGGTTCCTGGAAAGGGGACGTGTCTTTGTTAAGTGTGTGTGTGTTATTTGGTTCTTAGGGAGTGAGTGTATAAGTGTGAGGCCTCAACACCTCCATAAGCATGTCTGTCTTGTGTGGGTGAGAAATATGGGTAGGTCCTGATTTGTGGAGTTATATATTAATTATATCTTTATTGTTAAATTTGTGATTAAGCCCGGGTGGATAGTGCGTTTTTAAACGTTGTATCCACTTATTTTCATGGAACTCTAAAATCTTTCTAATGTTATCTGCTGTGGACTTTTCTATTCTCTCAATTATAGTGAATTTGGCATGGGTTTTGAAATCGCGTTTTTCTAGGCGGAAATGTTGTTCTATAGGCAATAATCTTTCATGGGGAGTCGACTTAATTCGATTGCGATAATTATTAATCCAATTAATATATATATATATATATATATATATATATATATATATATATATATATATATATATATATATATATATATGTATATATATATATATATATGTATATGTATATATATATGTATATATATATATATATATATATATATATATATATATATATATATGTATATATATATATATATATATATATGTATATATATATGTATATATATGTCTGTATATATATATATATATGTATATATATATATATATATATATATATATGTATATATATATATATATATATATATATATATATATATATATATATATATATATATATATATATATATATATATATATATATATATATATATATATATATATATATATATATATATATATATATATATATGTATATATATATATATATGTATATATATATATATATATATATGTATATATATATATATATATGTATATATATATATATGTATATATATATATATATATATATATATATATATATGTATATATATATGTATATATATATATATGTATATGTATATATATATATATATATATATATATATATATATATGTATGTATATATATATATATATATATATATATATATATATATATATATATATATATATATATATATATATATATATATATATATATATATATATATATATATATATATATATATATATATATATATATATATATATACGAGGTGCATTCCAGGTTTATGGACTTTTCAGGAGATATATTTATTCGTTTAGAAAGTGGAATCTCTTTCAATGAACTAACTTGTAGAGCTTCAACCACTTGGTGGAGTACCATAGAAGCCATCTAATGTAAAAGTTGCCCAGGACCCTTGTCAAAGCTTTCTTCATCTTCTCATTGTCGACAAAACAACAGACGCTGAGGTTCTTCTTTCATCATGGGGCGTATCCAACAGTCACGAGGATCTGCACTTCCAATTTATCTTCACGTTTCGACTGCATTCTGCAAACTAGTCAGCTTTGACAAGCAGTGTTTAGTTGTGTGTGTTGAAAGAGCTTCTAATACCATCATTTTCAGTCTGGAATGGCAAAAAATTGGCAGGCTAGCTTATTGGCACAACACTATGTTGTCATTAGCCACGCTTGATGTAGACACACCCAAAGTTTGATGTTTTGTTTCTTTTTGTTTTACGGCATATCAACACCTCAATATATTATTTAATGTTGACAAGATTTTTAGGATAGATTCGTATGAAGAGAATATGCATTCTTTGTATGAAATCAATTTTCAGATAATGGTTTGGGTTTATTTTGTTTTACGGCATATCAACACTTCAATGGGTTATTTAATGCCAACAAGATTTTTTTTTTTTACGATAGATTCGTATGAATAAATTTTTTTCTTTGTAAGAAACCAGTTTGTAGAACAGAGTTTGGGTTTATTATGTTTTACGAAATACCAACACCTCAATTGGTTATTTCATTTCGACAAGATTTTTAGGATAGGTTCGTATGAATAGAATATATATTCTTTGTAAGAAATCAGTTTGTAGATCAGGGTTAGGTTTATTTTGTTTTACGGCATATCAACACCTCAATGGGTTATTTAATGCCGACAAGATTTTTTTACGGTAGATTCGGATGAATGGAGTGTTTTATTTATAACAAATCTGTTTGTCGATAAGGGTTTGGGTTTATTTTGTTTTACGGCTTATGAATACCTCAATGGTTTATTTAATGCCGACAAGATTTTTTACGATACATTACGAATAGAATATTTCCTTTTTAAGATATCAGTTTGTAGATCAGATTTAAATGACGTATTTTTGTAAAGTGGGTTATTGTCTAGAGTCAAATGCATTGCTGGTAATATTTTTTTTTTTAAATCTATTTTATATTAAAAAATATTTTTACTATGAAAATCTATTTTGTTACTTTCATAGTGTTTTGACACCAATTTGGGGGTTAACTATTTGCCTACGGATCTGGCCCTCCTAGTAAGTGCTACCTCCCAGATCCAGAGTGGGTCTGGGAACAGCAGCAATTAAGAGGTGGTTCCACGCTCCTCAAAACCTCCTAATCAGAGGCCTTGCTGCCGGATGTATTTTATCGTCATACCCAGGACGCGCCAACATTTGACAACAAAATCTTCTGATCATCAATTTTAGGCGCAAAAATCACTATGTCTGTTCACGTGACCATAATTGAGCCAACCTCACAGTCCACCTTTTCTTTTTTTTTTTTTTTTTTGGCTTTTTTTTTTTTTTTCATAAGATGGAAAGAATTCTCCAACTTCAGTCAGATGCGAAACTGAACCTGGCAAGTTCTTCTAAGTAAATCTTCTTAAAGACTCCAGTTGCATTTCCAACTTCAATTTCATATATATATATATATATATATAGATATAGATAGATAGATAGATAGATAGATAGGGTGTCCCCAAAGAATTTGACATCATTTTAAAATCAATTATCTTGAAAACTACAGAGTCTAGCTTAATGAGATTGAACAGTTTAGGTGTTGAACCTCATAAGTTTATTAAGGGACCGATTTCAATGTGTGCACCGCCTGTGACACGGCACACGTCAAGTCGGCAGTTAAGCTCTTGCCAAACACGCTGTAGCATGTCTCCGGTAACATTATCCAGTGTAGAAGTGATTCTCTACTTGAGTTCATCAATGCTAGCAGGATGAGAGGGGACATAGACCAATCCCTTCACATATCGCTATAAAAAGAACTCACACGGGGACAGGTCCGGTGACCGCGGCGGCCATTTCGTCAGAAAACTGTCATCTCCACCACGCCCGATCCACCTCTCTGACAGATTCTCATTGAGATAACAAAAATAAAACATTTAATTCAAAATCTTCATCTGTTTCTATACATTCTGTGAAAAGTTGAGGTTATTTCAACAAGATATCAAATTTAAGCGACTCCCTGTTTTTCAAACACGGGTGTATCAAGTGAAAACGAAAATATAAAAAAAAATAGCATTCTTGCTGATGATAAGATCGACATTAATGCCACCGAGAATGGGCGGGAAAAAAGGCATATAATCATTGGATGAGTTTTAATCACAGAAAATATTTAAATGCTACAGCGCTGGAAAATTGTAACAGAATTAGATAGATCTTGTAAAATAACAATTCTTCATAAGAGTGGAATCTGTAGAATTAACCGAGATAAGTGCAGATCGATGTTATATTGTTAAATATATATTATGCCTCTTGATTCCTTTGTGAAGGGCCGCGGCAACACCTCTCCAACGGACGCGGATCCGGGTGATCCTCTTAAGCTCGGCCCATATCGTACGGCCTGTCCTCACCTCTGCCTCAACACTTCTGCGCAAAGTCTGTTTTGGTCGACCATCTTTTCGCTTCTCTTTGTAGATTCCAGTCAAGCTTTGAACACTCTGCGGCAAATGTGGAGATCAACAGCCCTCTCACTTGACA